GGCTTGTTGACATTCAACTTAGAAGGCGCTTATGTCCATTCATGCCATGGCGTCACGGAAATGATGAAATCAGGTTGGCGAGCATCTTTTTAAAACCAAAAAGTCATCGCCGCCAATCGAATCAGTTTCTGGAAGCCAGTAAGCGAGGTGAGCATGGAAGAACGAACCCATGAAAAATGGCGGATTTGTAATCAAATACTACTAACACCTAAGAGTTTAACAATTTTACAACTTTCCTAGGCAATCTTACAAGACTTCATGATAGGAGACATGTTATTGTTGCTACACTAAACAAACAAGAATTCCTAAGATGACCATGTTTCCTTCTCAAAAGTAGGATTACTAACTGGTCGCTGTGTTATGGACTTTATATTCTTCTTGCCACTTTGAATAATCTGCGGATGCTACTGCCAACTATTCCATCGAGCTCTTAAACGGTAAATGTCAAAAAGGGAGGATGCTGGGTAGGATGCAGTACAGAGGTTTGGGCTTTCATTTTGGAGAAGGGCATCTCAAAATCGAAAATTCATCAATAAAGTCGCGGATCAGCGGGACGAAGTTAGGTCGATACTAGTATAAAATGTTCCCATACAGGATTACAGGGGATGGATGTCCCTATTGTTGAGTATTCACGGCATGCCTGCATCGAAATACAGAAAACAAAGAGCTTTGCCAACACAGGTAGTGGAATCGACACTCACTGCGCCCGAGTGAACCGGCGGGCGAGTAAAAGGCCAAATCAATTATTGCAGCTGCGCTGCTATGCATGTGCGTAAAATGGAGCAAACACAAAAACACTAATCCATCATCATGCACGAAAACGAAGCTTGAAGGGAAGTGCAGTTATTCGTAAGCATATCTCTAATATAATGGAATGCAAAGTTCGTCTGAACCTGTGCAATCATTTCCGTTACCAATGCAGAAGAGTAAGTCAATAAGTACTGAAGTCGGATTATACGCATCTTTATATCTTATGCAACCAGCACACCACAGCACTGAGTCAAGACACCTCGACCAATATACCTGTCCTCAGTGATCCTATATAAACATGAATTTGTATATTTGGGATAGCCATAAAACTATTCATTTACAAGTTTACATTCTCTGTGACAAGATGCCAGGTGTGAAACGCGCACAACCAGACATCCTTCACAAAGTTACTCCAAGGCTTGATTTTTTTAAGCGGCATATCCCACCAGCGCACTCAAATAACGTGAAAAAACTGATATGAATCGAACCTTTATCGCAGGAAAGGTCAAGAAGCCTGAGTTTTGAATTCATATACGGAAAATATCAGTCATTCAGGAAAGGTAAGTCATTTTAAAATGCAGTTAATACATTACCAACGACAGTAATTCATGGCGAAAAATAGCATTTTATACGTAGCTTAACTAAAAGGCAACTGCTGGAAGACCATAGTCAAGTACATTGCACAGGTACAGAAATTTTCTGATGTTTTGGATGATCGTGTTTCACCTCTAAAGCTACCGCAGAAAAGCTGCAAATGGAAAATAGTAGCCTACCTCAAGTGGGGTTATGCCCATGTCCGAGCGTAAACAGACATCTCCACCATAGGCAATAAGCAACTCCAGCTGACCGATTTGTTCATACTGACAAGCCACATGAACTGGGGATGTTCCTTTCATGGGGTGAATATAGTTTGGATTTGCCCCCTACAAATGGATAAAAGTTGCATCTAATTTGCACCAGTTAATGAAACAAAATTCAGATCCACCGAATTGCATGCAAAAGGCATGAACACGATTTCCTCAAAATCAAGACATTTGAAACTCAAAACTTCGGCTGAATAACTCACTAGAGCTAGGAGGTACAGACTGGTTTCCAGAACAGCAGTGCGAACACTGGCATGCAACTGTTGATTAAGATCATCAGGATGAATGACGCTGGGAAGTTTAAAGAACCCATGAAATAAGTATTTTTTCCGAATAAAATCCGCTTTTACTGGGTGCAAAGGGGAGTCGGGTTGAGGTTTCCTATCAGTTACCGTCGAATTCTTCGAGGACTCATTCCTCTTAGTTAAAAGTGGCTCCAATAAAACGTGTTCCCAAAACCTGTTGGCACCAGCAAGAGCCAAGTATTGTACCATAAATAGTTGAGAAGGCCGCCATAAAGATTTGTATAAATGCTTAGTCTACAAAAGGAATATGTCAAAAATTGCGGATCGCACATGACTGACATGCCGTCCGAGTTGCCTATGTATTGAATTGCATTCATCGCATATAAAAACTCCACGATTTATGGAAGCCCATTGGGGATTTTTTGCATCGCAATCAGCACAAACAGCTGTAGCGGACTCCATCAACTCATAAGCCGCGAGATGGGTTAACGCCAGAACAGATGAATAATCGCGATCTGGTAAGGAGCGAAATAAACAAACTTGACAGTTTTGCCAATTTTTAAGTGAGTACAATCCTATAATGCTTGCCTAACTAATTTTTTAGATGCAAAAATTGGAGAATGTAATAGTAATCCCTTTTCACCCTTGCTAAATTCCTGAACATTTTCCTTATTGTTCACCTACCTGCAGCTTTCATTTTCAGTAATTTTTAATTTTTGTTTTAAGCCCCATGCTTAGGAAAATAGCCATACACGATGTTCGTTTTGGTTACCGTTGTGTATTCTACGCGTGGAGATGGTTTGATGACGATTCGTTGGACGTTGTTTAGACGGTACCAATAATGCTTTGTCTAGGTAGCCACGTGACGTTTGGCGATCGTGTTAGGGCTTGTTTCGGCCTTGTGCACGTGTTGGTCTTCGGGCTATCCCCAGGCCCACTTGACCTGTCGCTTTCAGAATGCATTTGTCCAGCTGCACTTACTGACGTTTTATACCGGCTAGGTAGTCTCGGGACGCTAATCTGGTGCAGTGGAAAGCGACGCAGACACCTTTATGCGACTTATTCATCGTTGGTTGTTTGTTAAAAGCGATAATGTCGGGGAGAGGGAGGAGGAGAAGATCTCTTAAAGGCCTCTGGGTGCCCGATATCCAGGTAATCAGCATGCAAACATTTTAGAAGTCAGAGGCTACAGATCCGACTCTCGTGCTTCCACCCAAAAGACCCACTTAGCTGCATGACGTCTGCCAAGCGCCCTTTTCCGGTGCATAGGCTTTGGTACGTCGAACAAGGATGACTGTTTTGTAAGTTGACACTCGTGTCTCGTTGTCAAACTGCATCTTGCCTAATATCTTTATGCACTCAACTCCTAACAGCCATAAATCTGCCCTCCCAAGGTTTGTGATTTTGACAAGGTGCAAACAAAGGCACCCCAAAACCATTGCTCCTACTACTTCAGTTTTAATTTAAGCACATTGCAGAGGCGGCCAAAAAAATAAGCATTGCTTGCATTAACGATGAATAATGCACCGGTTGGATATGCAGCAGTTCGGAATGATTTCGCGGCTTTTCTTTCCCTTACTAGCCTTCTCACTCCCGTACTCTCCAAGGCAGATACGTCTGCTATCGTAGTGGCTTTGCTTCCCAAAAGCATCAGTTAGAGTGGTCCCAATCCTTTGCCAACGACACAGCGTGGTAACCACCGCGCCACTGAGGCCAACGTGCTCAACGTGACGGCATGGAACTGTCCACGAATGCGGGAACCAAGCGGGTCCACCCACATAAGGCCCCACTAAAACAACAAAGTTAGCAGCATGGCTCGTGACCCATGCT